GACTTGAAATTTGGAAACCAGAAATTTAATATTTGATAGCTGTAACTTGGAAATTTGGAAATTTGGAATTTGGAAAATTGAAAATTTGGAATTTGGAAATTTGGATTTCGGAATTTTTGAATTTTGGAATTCGAAAATTCGGAATTTGGAAAATTGGAAATTCAGAAATTTGAAATTCGAAAATTCGGAATTTAGAAAATTGGAAATTCGGAAATTTGGAATTCGAAAATTTGGAATTTGAAATCTTAGAAATTTGAAAAGTTGAAATTCGGAAATTTGGAATTTGGAAATTTGGAATTTGGAAATTTGGAATTCGAAAATTTGGAATTCGGAAATTTGGAATTTGGAAATTTGGAATTTGGAAATTTGGAATTCGAAAATTTGGAATTTGGAAATTTGGAATTCGAAAATTCGGAATTTGGAAATTTGGAATTCGAAAATTTGGAATTTCAAAACTTAGAAATTTGAAAATTTGAAATTCGGAAATTTGGAATTCAAAAATTCGGAATTTGGAAAATTGGAAATTCGAAAATTCGGAATTTAGAAAATTGGAAATTCAGAAATTTGGAATTCGAAAATTTGAAATTTGAAATCTTAGAAATTTGAAAATTTGAAATTCCGAATTTGGAAATTTGAATTTCGGAAATTTGGAATTCAAAAATTTTGAAATTGAAAATCGAAAAATTGTAATATCAGAACAAGTGCAAATTTGGAAGATAAAAGCATAGATTAAAAGATTTGTGATTTTGATTGGCTATAACTGTCGCAGAATGTTCCTCAGTCATCTCCGATAAGAGAATGAGATGGACGATAGCGTTGTCCTCGGAAGCGTTAAACCGGATAACGTGCTAGGGAATCACGATCATGATCGTATCAGGACAGGTAACAACCTGTTTTACGATCAACACGCGGCAAAAATTCCTGTTCTGCTCTATTTCTCGCGATACAAGAACACACCGTATCCTACATGCCCGTTCAAAACAAGACACAGCTCGCAGTAGAACAATAGAAAGTACATACGAAGAGTTAAAAAGCTTCTTAAAGGTGACCCTGGGATCTGATCAACAAACCTAAGGCATTGTTCTGCTCTTACAGAAGATGATTGTGACGTGGTATAAATGTTAAACCGATCTAGATATCCAAATCCCACGCGTTGCTTACGAAAGGAAAGTAAAATATTAGCAGAAAGCTAGGGATACATCTATGTATATGTAGACTTCAACTCTTCATCTACTTCGTGGAAATTTCTATTTACGCTACTGTACTCTCGTAAAGTTTGGTAATGGGTGGTCGGAAGCATAGGGACGTTCTATTGGAATAGATTTAGAATTTCTATGGCCTTATTTATAGATGAAGCAGGGATATTTCTACTGGAGATCGTGTTGCAATTAAAATTGTGCTCCATCTATGAATACACTTTTAAGTTTCTACATTTAAGAACTCAACAATTTTTTAATGATCGAATCTTTATTTTGTCGGATCTTTCAAATTACCATATCATGTCTGTCAATCCAAATTTCTGAATTTCAAAATTCCGAATTCTAAACTTTCGAATTTGAAATTTTCGAATTCCAAATTTTCAAATTTCCAAATTTCCCAAATTCCCCAAATCTCAAATTCCAAAACTCAAAAATTTTTAAATTTAAAAATTCCAAAATTCCAAATTTCTAAATTTCCCAAATTCCTTTGATACCAAATTCTCCAAATCCCAAATTCCCCAAATCCCAAATTCCCCAAATCCCAAATTCCCCAAATCCCAAATTCCCCAAATCCCAAATTCCCCAAATCCCAAATTCCCCAAATCCCAAATTCCCCAAATCCCAAATTCCCCAAATCCCAAATTCCCCAAATCCCAAATTCCCCAAATCCCAAATTCCCCAAATCCCAAATTCCCCAAATCCCAAATTCCCCAAATCCCAAATTCCCCAAATCCCAAATTCCCCAAATCCCAAATTCCCCAAATCCCAAATTCCCCAAATCCCAAATTCCCCAAATCCCAAATTCCCCAAATCCCAAATTCCCCAAATCCCAAATTCCCCAAATCCCAAATTCTCTAAATCTCAAATTCCAAAACTCCAAAATTCAAAAATTTCAAAATTCCAAATTTCCCAAATTTCCCAAATTCCCCAAATCCCAAATTCTCTAAATCTCAAATTCCAAAACTCCAAAATTCAAAAATTTCAAAATTCCAAATTTCCCAAATTTCCCAAATTCCCCAAATCCCAAATTCTCTAAATCTCAAATTCCAAAACTCCAAAATTCAAAAATTTCAAAATTCCAAATTTCCCAAATTTCCCAAATTCCCCAAATCCCAAATTCTCTAAATCTCAAATTCCAAAACTCCAAAATTCAAAAATTTCAAAAAATCCCAAATTCCCCAAATCCCAAATTCCCCAAATCCCAAATTCTCTAAATCTCAAATTCCAAAACTCCAAAATTCAAAAATTTCAAAATTCCAAATTTCCCAAATTTCCCAAATTCCCCAAATCCCAAATTCCAAAATTCCAAGCTTCCAATCTCAACCTTCAAATTCTCAAATTTCCAAAATTCTATTCCAAAAAATTTCTACAATCCACACCGAAACACCTGGCCCATTATCCCCAGAAACCCCCCGTACAATACAATGTCTCGTATACACGATAGCAAGCACAAAAGGGTTGAATACACAGTCTGGGATCGAAAGGGTTAAAGCAATAAACGTTACGTAGCTCCCGTTACGATTCTTTAATTATTTTCCGTGTGCTTACGAAGGCCAGGGGAGATTAATTCTAAAAGACAGAAAGTTGGTCCGCGTAACTGGAATTACACGTGCAAAGTATCGGTAGGGTGGAAATCAGCGGCCCGTAATTATCCCGGTGCTTAATTACGCTGGCGCGTTTTTCGGCCCGTCGTACCAACGTTTTTCCTTTTGTTCGTCAGACTCGGAAAAGGAATTCTCTAGGTGTCTCGTTTTTCACCGGTCTACCTCGACCCTTTCACTTACGTGCTCATCAATCTCCCGCTAGGTTTTCCGACGTGTCAGTGTTAGCTACAGGCCAACGTATATGCAGTCACGAACCCTCATCACTAAACCGTTCTTTCCTTTTCTTCCTCAAGCTTTCCGCTTCCGTTGCGCAACTTTTCATTATCATATCTCGTGCACCTTCGTTGGAATTAAAGAAAGTCTTGCTTATTGAATTCCGTTTTTTCGACAAGCAACACGTGCGAGAAAGTAACGTCCACGTGCGCGTCCTCCGAGTTGGCAGCCGGAAACGGAGCCTATTGACTCGCATGCCAACTTGCGAGACATGCAACGTATACGTTTAATTATTTATCAATAGAAATACTGCGAAGTTTATATTCATGTAAATTAATTTTGATTTATTTTTAAGTTATATTTGTTCAATTTTATTACTCTTATCTGATCATATTAGTATATAATTTGTACTGAACATATTACTCTTATCTGATTATTATATGTATTAGATGCAAGTTATAATTATTTCAAGTCCTCTTTTATTGTAATTAATATTACAATAGTACATATGAATAAAATATATGAACAGCACATATGAATAATACATGTACTTACTAAACAGAACATATACTAAAATTAAGCACCCCTGTAGTTAGGTATTATTTATCACCCTACATTTAGGTTTCATCATCCCTATTATTAGATACATTACTATTATTCAACATAGAACATTAAACCACAGATATGAAAATCTTCCACAGACCAAATTTTTCTACCATTTTCTGAACTTGCCTCTAAGTCACTGATTGTAATAAAATCACCCTGTCAATAAAGTGTTAAATAATGTTTAAAATATATATTCCACAGGAATAAATGGAACATGTGAATCGATCGTTTCAGAGTAACACATGCGTGAATTTCTCTTCCAATAAGTCAAGTGACTTACTTTTCCCTACTTATCAAATGATGTACGTACATGTCATTGAGATCGAGTTAGACCGATAATGCTGTGTGATTGTACGATAACGTTATTTGAAAGCAATGGAGATGATAATAAACGAGTTTATAGCTCATGATAATCCATGTCTTATAACAAATAAACTTCAAGGTTCAATTAACCCTTTGTAATGTTCAAATTGGTGAATTTAATAAAAAATGCAGACTGTTTTTTACAATTTTTTTGTTTGGATCATAATTTGAATTTTAGTCTTCTTGGGTTTTCTTTAATTATCACTAGGTTTTCAGTATCCCTTGGATTGTCCTAGGCTTCCAGTTTTCTTCAGCATCTCACTAGACTGTGTTATCCTAAATTTTCTTACACTCGAAAATAACGTTAGATCAAACTCTGAAATATAAAAATAAATTTCACAAAATTTATAAAAATAAAAATAGTAAAGTTCAGATAGTAAATTATAATTTTTGTGACTATGGTTGTTTCCCCTAGGATTCTTTAACTTGGATAAATTTTTATAACATACAAATGTGTTTAATTTGAATGGTATACGATCACTGCAACTCCAATTTTGTTAAAACTTTGCATAATTATAGGAGACACTAAAAACAATAATTCTGCACAATAATAACAGGCAATATTTTTTACCACAATAAAAAGAACTTTTACAACCTACCAAAAATTCTCATATCTTAAATGCGTATACAAATACATAAATTTTTATTGTAAACAAATAAACTTAAATGAAACAAATAGACTTTTTGTTTCATTAAAAAATAACAAAGAATATATTCAGAACTAAAACACACAGGTCATGTTTCGATCAGGCTACAATTCATTTACTTTGAATTATACTCGAACGCTTTTTAAAAGTTCTAAATATAAATTTCTTCCTCATTTCCTAAAAGTGCGCGAATTGCAAAATTATTACATTTAGTGCCCCCTACAATTACGCAAAGTTTGAACAAAATTAGTGTTTGAAAGATCGCGTCCTTGTAAATACGGGCCCGAGACAAGTACCCCATCTGCCCGCCACCGGAGACAACTCGCTACACTTCTCTTAAAACTATAACATAAAATAAAGTTACTCACCAAGTTGAACACGTGTCGCCGAAAACTGCAAACAAATCCCACATTCCGAGTCAGGCAGGTTCAATGATCTTTTGACGTTACATAATTCTCTAACCTCAAAACGCAACAAAGGCGGGAGAAAATCGGTCAAACTGGATCTTTTTTCTCGTCGCAACAAACGCGATTCCCCGCGACGGTCATCAATGGGAAATCGAACGTGACCGATTAAACACAAACGATCATCAAATCACCCGAAACGCGCGAAAAAAATACGTGAAAACTGACCACGGTTCAATCACCTGACACAACAGTACACGCGTTGCGTACGCGTGACAGAAGGTAGTTGCCCTTTAACGGCGATTTAAAGGGCACGTGATAAGAGTTTCACTCGCGTGTCAACTCGAAACACACGCGTAAACGGCACGGTAAAAATCCACGCACTTATTGAGAAACGATTATTCACAACCACAAGGCTCTCCACACGTGATCGCTGTCAAAAGTAAAGTTGACAGGTCGTGCAGCTGGCACGCAGCTGATGCACCGCCCGTGACACGTTGACGTCACAAAGATAATGCACGAACACGCGTGATCCCTTTAACCGGGAAAAGAAACGATCCAAAGGCACCAATGTTGTTGCGCCACTGTTTCGCGCTAGAACGGATAGGCTAGTGTTTCGTTTTACTCCCCTCCACCCGTACGTCGTTCTGTCATTTGTTTACTAGCCTGTGCTCGACCACCACCGTTACTCTACTACGCGCGTTACGTTGTCCATGTGCACGTCAATTTCGTCGAGCAACGTTGTCGCGAACGACGACTCTTCTTGTTTTACAGGGACGATCACGCGGCCCTGCTTGCCAGGTACAAACGTAAAAACGTTGTTGATTTCGCGTAGGAAACAAAGCAGCGCGCACAGCATCCACGTTCCACCATAGGGAATCTGGCGACCGCGCAACCGCCGGGATCAAATCACATCCGCCGGCGAAAGTAGTGCCGCGCTCCGCCGAAACCGCGAATCAAATGGCCAAAAGACGACTGCGCGCTTCGAAACTAGTAAACTCGTGTCCGGACCGCGGACGATCAATATATATTGTCAATATTTCACTGTTCTTAATAGTTACGATATTCTATTGACGGTGTATATTGATCCTGTGCTGGCAACTTTAGGTTTAGCAGTTTGAACGGTTGGAAGTTTGAAAATTTGCAAAGAGCGGGCTCGGAGTTCAGAAATCTGAGATTTTGGACTTGGGGTTTAGAAATTTAATTTTAATTCAGGAACTTGAAAATTTGGTTTTGGAAATTTGGAAGCTTAAGAATTTGATTTTAAAAATTTGGGAATTTTGCAGTTTTGATATTTAGAAAATTAAAAATTTGCAACTCAAAATTTTAAAAAAATTTAGATTTTGAATATTGAAAAGTTTGGAAGGGAAAAATTTGAAGACTTTAAAATTCAACAACTGTGTTATTTGTTTATAACAAATAAGAAACAAAAACGTTTAGTACTAAGGTATGTGCAAAGTTGAAAATTTAAGACTGAAAATTAAAAAATTTTTATCTTTCACATTTGTTAAGATTTGAAATCCAATAAATTAGTAATTTAAAAATTTGACAATTCAACAAAATCTGAGAAATTAAAAAATTTTTAAATATTGATTTAGTAACGTGAAAATCAAAATTTGAATATTAATGAATTTGATGATTCAAGATCAATGTCCGTTGACTACATAGAAGTAAATATTGACAGTTTATCGTAAATCTCCCAATTGATATATTGATCGTCTGAGGTCTCCAGTAGTCGGTGGTCCGATTCTCACGTGTTTCGGTAGAATCGTTTCATGACTGTTATTCAGTTTCGTAGCTGCCGCGCGCATCCCAACGGGATCGTTGTTCGCACATTTTAGTCGAACTAACCGGGACTACCTCTGTGACATTATCTACGATTCTCAATTTTGTTACTAAATCGTTGTTAATTTTTATATATTTTATAATTTTTAATCTTTACGAGGTGTTTTTATGAATGTTTAAAAAGTCGCGATACTACAGTGTAATTTAGTGAAAGTTGGAAACGAGAATGTGAAGTTTCACCGGTAACTCGTATCGAACATTTAATAACGATATAAAAGAGCGATAGGCGAGAGAAAATTTATCTATAGATACCCGTCTAATCTCGTTAATTATCGGTTTGAAGTTTGAAATCAGTTGTTACCGTTTCGCGTGATGAAAGTAAAAGTAACCGTGAGAAAAGATTACCGTTTCTTCCCACGACACGGTCGATTCACTTTCCTCGGTATTATTTCTCGCATTTACATTCAATAAACATCCCGCTGACAAACGTATCGCGTGATTTGCACGAGTCCAGTAAAACTCTTCGACGAAGTTCGTTTTAACCTACGTAGTGAAACAGTTGCACGCAGTTACGGAAGTGGCGTCATTCGTATCTCAATATGGCGGACACTGAACAGCGTAAACAGAGTGGCGATTACAGCAGATCGTATGCGGGTAAGTACTGTTATTATTTTACAACGTTTCGCGACAGTTGGGGAGAAAATGTACGAGGAATAGCTACAATATCGTAAGATACTATTAAGAATCACTGGAAAGCGGTGTACGCTTCGTGTGCCAGCTGTAACCCCATATCGTTGTCCCTTGCACTTTTTTTTGACATTTTACCAACAGTTCAAGTACATTTTCAACCGAACGAATGGAACGTTAGTGGTTTTCGTTGGTTTAATTTAATCCTGACCACGTGGTGGATCGCCATAAGTTATCCTAACATCGGTACTTTGCGAGGGAACGTTGCCAGGAACCGTTTTGTATCGTGTTTGAAGATTCTGTGTTTCTAACCTCGTCGATCATATGTGTATGCATCGGAATTGATATGCAGTTTCGTAATCGTTGTTTTGATGCTGCGTACGGGACAAAAAGAGTGGAAATACGAGTGAAAACGCAGAGTAACGTCCGCGGTCGGAGAGGTTATAATAATGTTGTGAATAGTTTTTGTCAACGATGTATGACGTTCTAATTTGTTCCAGCAGTGACATAGTAAACTATAAATAGTGTAATAGCCAGTTACGCATTCGTAATTATGTGTAGCAACGTGATATTCTGTCAAAGGAGGATGACGTAGCCTCGAAGCATGGCGCGTAAGTGCTGCCGCCTCGCGCCAAAATTTTCAACCGCGTCGATAAAAACGAGGGAAATTTGAATCATACTTGTTCGCGACCTCGTCCTTGCGCTTTATTACTCACCCATTGTTCGACTTGTTGTGGTATTCTAATGATTATTTGTGCTCGCACTGCTCTGTGTGTATCGATTATACTGTTTCATGAATAATACAAAAATTATAAATTAATGTTAAATTCGCCATATTGTTACATAACAAACTCATATTTTTATAACGTTCTGTAAGTTTATCTTACTATTAATTTTTATGTTAGTAATCCATTGTATCTCGTTACATTCGAATTGCTAATATCATTCACTTTTCATGAAAGTGAATAGTATTAATGCGTAGAAATACTGCTATTCAGACGTCGAGATTTTCCACGAGATTACTACAACAGGAAAAGAATTAGTATTAATGACGCTTCTAAAATTCAATACTTCGATTTCTTTATTTATGCAAAAATATTTTTATCGCGATTAAAATTATACGGGATAAAAATTCTTTGTCGATAATTTACACGCTTGAATGAAAGTTAATTTTTGCGAAAGTTTCTCGTGATCAAGAAAAAAAATGTTTTGTATCTTAATCATCAAACTTTTTTTAATTTTATTCAAGTTCTTTATATTATTTTTCACTGATCTTCTCTCGTGGTATATAGATTTTGGACTCGATTTCTTAACATTTTCTATTTATCCCATAACAACGTGATAAGTGACTTTATCATAGTTCGTTTTTTTCTCTATCTTAATATGTGCCTTTGTTGGCGCGTAAGTCCTCGTATATTCCTGTTCATACAGTCGGAAAAAATAGCAGAATCACGTTTCACTGTATACTGAAAAGCACGTAATAAAGTAGTATTATATTGCACGACCTTAATCTTATTTACATGTACTTAATGCATGACGTTCACACAAATATTTACTCTCTTAAATTTGTAAATATTTACTCTTTCTTAAGTTCAACATTTTTTGCCTGACAAGATGTTGATTATTTTATATTATTTAACGATATTTGAACAATATTCCCGTGTCTATTTCAACTCAACTTTTTGTGCAATTTTTTAATACAATTCTTTTTTGTTTTTGGGCATACAATTTTATAAAATTTAGACGTGCACAATTGTGCGTACTGAAACATATTTTCCCGCGTTAAAACAAATGTTTGCAAACATAACAGGTTTCTGTGCCATTTCCGCACAAAGTGATGTGGAGAACTTTAGAATCCCGTACACAAACATGTCCCTTTCGCAAATATAAAAAATCGGTTAACAAATCGAACGAATTTTATTACTTCCATTTATTCGAAACGGTATCCGTGATAATACGTTCAGGCATCTGTAATGTCCGCCATAAATCTCGAGAAAAACCGAACGAGGGAAGTGAAAAATTGTCAAGAACGATACATTATTTCTTTCGAAATGAAATCGCCGGCAATGAAACAGGTCTCCGTTGAAAAGCAAGTCGTAGTTTCGTAGCAATTGCGCTATGCCGTTCCACGTGATATTCAAGATTGAAAATGAGTGCCGCGTGTATTGGCATATCTATTCGAGCCGACACAGGCGTTTGTTTTATTGAATACTATCGAATGGCTGTACGTGCCACGTGCTCGATGAAAATGACTCCTTTCCAACCGATCGTTCATGCTTTTCTTTCGACGCTCGAGACAATAACGTTTTCTAAACTGGATCGTGCAAAATGGTAAATTAATTCTCACCTCGTCGTATCGTCTAATTGCTTCACGCTTCGCTGTTATAATTAATACAAATTCGTGTCAAGTTATTTGTACCAATTTGTCTCTACCTTCACATTCTATGAATTCCTTCATTAGTTATATATTTATTTATTTTTTGTTCAACGAGACATTGAAAAAAATTTCTTAAGCTACTCTATGATGAAAATAATTATAAT